TCTGAAATATATAATATATCAATTTGTGAGGGTATATATATATATATATATATATATATATATATATATGTATAGATAATAATAAAATTCTGTTTTGATACATTTTTAAAATAAGTGATTAAAAGGTTAAAATACAATACAGGACGAAAAATGCGATTAATGAATAGCAAATCATACACGCTGTACGGAATTAACTATCCGTCGCATTCCGGCCTTTGACTCAGCGTATCGATCATGATGATCGATTGTGCTTGCGGAATTGTATCGGAAACTCAATCTGGGATTAAAACGATTACAGTGTATTGCATAAGAGCATGTGCAGTATGTTACAACTAATAGAAGACTAGAAAGAAATTTCTTCGCAAACAACTGCAATTCAAATGTTTTTTCTAACTCTAAAAATATTTATGATATTCATTTAACATATGAATTTATTCACGGCATAGGGTGTCTTTCACCAATCTCGGTTAAGCTAACCGACAGTTAGATGAATAAGCTTCATGTAATCATCGGTTAGCTTAACTGAGATTGGTGAAAGAGATCCATGTTCTATTTAGTATCTAGTGATCAGAAGATAAATTAAACAATCATATATTTTTTTGTAACATATATGTATAATATATGACATCGACATTTCCTCATGATTCGAGAAGGCGAAAGATATACATCCCGTTTATCCGTGTATTTATTCACATCTAACTACATATGTATGTATATAATCAAGTTATAGGCACAGTGGTAATTTAACTTAAACTCGCAAAAAGAAAGTAACAGATGGTTGTGGGTAGCATTTAACAATGAAGTTTATTCTGAGAGACAGAGAACGATGTAAATCACACGCGAGTTCGAGCAACGATTTATAATAAACATTGACGTAAAATTAAAAAAAAAAATATTACAGATTGAATAATGATTTTTCCTCAAGAAAATACTAGAAAAATAAAAAGATCAATTTATGAATTTAATTAATATATGAATCGAACATTTTTGCCATCATAGATTTTGATTAAGTAAACGTAACGTTTGCGATTTATTTTAATTTTTTAATTGTTAATGTCTGCTTGTTTTGTAAATAGTAAAATATTGTAAAGTATTGTAAAATGCAATATTCAATATTTTAGTTAAAATGCGACATGATGTAGCAAGAAAGACCGTTCGGCAGGTATTACTCAACGCGTAGAAATAGACGCAGCCTCGCGCATAATCTACATAGGAACGTTTCAATTTTCTCGGGTGCGGCGTATCCACACACGTTGCATCTGCCACACTGGCAACAACGATTTCTCACGGCCGTAATCGCGCTCGCGAGAGTGTTAGCGTGCTCTCTCGGCGCCGGTTCATAGCTCTCGCTGGCAAGAAGTACGAACGAACGAGCGGAGCGAGCATCGGCCTATAAATAGTGAAGGAAAGTATGAGGTAACGCGGCAGAGCGTGTCGCGAATTATAATTTAATATCGTCCCGGCTTGTAATACCGCGAGTACGCTCGTGATAATGTCTGTGCGCAGAAACGTATGCGAATCTAGCGACGATTCTTCGACATATCGACCGATCGAACAAAATAGACGGCGAGAAAAGTGGAAAGAAAGAAAGAAAATCTGGTCTCGGTTTACACGGAAGGAGAAGGAAAGACAGAGGAAAACGCGTGCTAGAAGAGACAAATGCAGCGCGTTAACGTATTATTCAGGTACGCCGGGAACGGGTAGGTGGTCAGTGACATACGGCCGTGAATAATACCCCGCTCGTATTAACATAATGTCTGACTTTTTTCAATGGACTGCCATGAATTACAAATGCTTGGACTGGCGTGGGACGAGATTACGTCGATAAGCGCAATTCGCTTGCTCGCGCGAGACAGCAGCGAAAGTTTAGGACTGTTTTATAAAAATGACAATGAACAACCGAGGCAGAGAACGAAGATCTTAAATTTATAAGATACATTAGAGTGATATAATCCGATCGTAATTCTAATCAGCTACCATAACTATAATTATTTGTGAGTATCGGTACTGTAAGTCAGATTTTTGCCTTGAGCGTCTACAGTGAGATTTCAAGATGTAAAACTGAGCTTTACGTATTGAGAAATTGACTAGTCGATTATTCTCATATTTGATTGTGATTGGTCAATTTCTTTCGGCTTGAGGCTCAAGCTTAAATTTTACTTAAAAAATTTTCATCGTAGATGAATCATAAGCCATATGTCGAACCGTAGACGGTTCGTGAAGTTAGCCCCCCAACTTTAAATAATAAAGTTTCTTTAGCTCATTCGATTGCTCATCGTTTGCACATTTTGAATTTTCGTTTGTATATTTCTAGTTAAAAAGTTATTTAAAAAACAATTTTGAAAGGGGGGAGGGCTAACTTCACACTAGCCCCTCAACTTCGCGCAAATTGGATCTAAAAGGTCTCAATCGATAGATTTTCGTTTGCACGTTTCGAAACAAGTTGATTTTTTGTTTGCACGATTGAGATTGACGCATTTGCATTACATTTTTTGCAATAACTCTTAACTTTTGCGTTAATATTTAGCATTATTATCAATGAATATTTTGGCACGTTTAAAAGTAAATGCGCATGATAACTTGACTTGTTGCCATATTTTTTCTGCAAAAATATGAGTCTATTTGCCTGATATGACATATACCGTCGTTTCTTGTGTCCATATTTTTGGCGAATACGTTTTCTCTCTCTCCATTTTTCTTCAAAAATTATCAGTTTAAATTTCTTTTCATTTTAGAGCTATATAAATACTATTTGATACTATTGTATTATATGAAGAATCTTTTGAATCGTTCCCTATACTATTTCTCTTAATAGAAAACGCTTCTATAGAAAATAAGCTAGAATATAGCAAATAATTAGCCAGGAATATTATTTACTCTCTAGTATTTGACCAGTATTAGATTAGATTCGTCTCAATTTGGGCGACGCTTGTTTCGGCAGTGTCTAGATAGTGAAACTAGCCAGTTTGTAACTAGTCTTTCTAATGATTTTTTAACCAGCGTTTAATCAGTTTTTAGATAAATTTATGATCAATTTCTAACCATTTTCTATTCAGTTCTTAACTTTTATTATTTAATTATTATTTGTTATTATTTATTACGATATTAATTTCTAAAATATGTTAATCAAAAAAGGATATTATGTTAATTTTTTTTTTTTTGAAAATTTTTTATTTTCTTTTATTACATTATAAAGAAATATTTATTTTTAGTACAGTATAATTGTACATATATACATCTAATACAATATAAAGTTATATTTTTACATTATTATATATATTTACATTATTTCTATGTATTATTCAGAACTACATAAAATCAAATTTATAAATAATAACAAAATAGGAAAGATATTATTCTATAAAAGAAAATTAACTTTTAATTTAAATGCGGCTTGCATTGGAATTCATATGGTGTCCACTGTGTTAAACATTGAATTCTTTTATCTAATTCGCGTCGATAAGATGGCTTCAATTTTTTATCGCAATGATCAAAATACCACGTATCTAAATATAATTTTTTCATTATACCCAAGCAAACTAAATGCATGTAGTCAAGAGGAAACATTCTTATCATATCTATTGGTGACTCAATAGAAAGTAAAGGTGATTGTCCAGTATGATGACATAATTGTTGCTGATAACGAAATAATTGATCAGTTTTCTTCTCACAAGATACATCACATAGATATACCACTTTTCTATAATTTTTTTTTCTTAAAATACTATCCCTAAAGTACATAAATTTCACATCTTTCGCAAGCACCATATCCTCCATGTCCTACAATTGATTTTAAAAATTTTCGAGCCTGTGCATCGCAAATAAATCTATGAATTTTAAAGTAAACTCTTTTCCTTTAATTATTGATTTTTCCGACATTAATTGATTAATTTCTTGTATAAATTCTTTTAAAAAAATCTTATTTACAAGTTTATTATTTCCGCTATAAATTGCTACACAAAATGGATTATGTACAAATGACTCACAAATCATTTTACAGAATTGGCCAAAATTGTTTTGAATTAGAGTGAAACAATGTCATTCCGTCAACATTAAATTGTAATAATATATTTAATGAGATATGTAAATTTAGAAAATATTGATCAAGCTATTTTTTATTCCAAAATATACAAATTCGCCAGCTGTTCCGTCTATTCCGTACATTACTCGAATATTATACGAAGCTTTGTTGATAAATAAGAATGTTTTTGCACACTTTGGCAAGTTGGGTAAGAATTACGGCGTAATGTGTTTAACAATTCTTCTAAATTATTTTGATTTATGTTACATTTAAGCCCACTTACGAATGTCATTCGTATCTTTTTCTTTATAATCTTCATTGATA